ACTAAGGCCATCTTATTATGACTGCAACTGGTATACAGACCCAGGGACTCAGATATTCTAGGTTAGACATCAATAAATGAGGGACCACGGTCCAGACATGGTGGTTTTGCCCGGACCGTGATCACTGACCTGCATTGGGTTATGACTGCCTGACAGTGGATACACTCTAAGGCCGGTGCATCCACTGCAACCCATAACCCAGCACAGCCCCCTCCCCCGCTTCCGTCATTGGTTGCTAGATTGCTGGCATCCTAGCAACCAATTACGTCAGGCAGGGCCGCCTATAGGAGGGGTACAGCTAGCCCTGTCGTACCAGGTTTAGTCCCTCCACCCTTGCTGTTATTTTTGGGTCCCCCACTCCTCTGGGGGGGCCAGGACCATGGCAGAGGGTGTCAGGATAGAGAGTGGCTGATGAATGAAGCAGGAGGCGCTGTGCTCTCAACACTTCCTGCTTCAGAGCTGTCAGGTGCCGGGTAAAGTTACAGGTAAACAGATGATCAAGCACAATCCTGGCGGGCAGGAGAGACATCAGCGGTCTAAAAAAGGTCTCCATAAAGAGAACCTGTCACCTTCAAATGCTGTCACATAAGGGCTTGTTAGTCCCTTTGTGATAGCAAAAGTAAGTGAAAGAAATGTTTAAAAAAACGCTAAGTAAAAAAATAATAAAATGTTTTAAAAACATGTAAAACCAACCTTGTCGCCCCCACCATCTGATTCAAATGAAACGCACGTGTAAGACATGCACTTGTATGTAAACGGGAAGGGGGGGGGGCATTCTTAAATAAATGAATAGTGCAATGTGCCGGGATCAGTGTATCAGCGCTGTGCCTGGGAGAACACACCAGCAGCTGTCCATTGTAGTGCAGCCGCTGGTGTGAATTGCAGCTAAATGGTGGACAGTGGTACAGACACTTCATGGTGTAAAGACTAAATGGTGGACAGGTACAGACTGAGTGACCGTTCTGTCCGGACCGTGATTTGGACCTCGGATCAGTGAACATTTTACTCGCTGGTCCTTAATGAATTTTTATGCACTACCCCTGCTCTAGGTCACCCAGGACTTCTTTCAGTATTAATCAGCTGCTACACAATCTTAAAACTTCTTCAGTTCTTATACTGCCTGTGCCAATGATTCCACTTCCAACAGTTACTACTCGCATAGCATGTGGTTTAATCCCCATATCTCCAACACTACATTGCTTTATGGTGTTTCTAAAGCCTGCAGTCTTTCCTTAAAACCACCTCAATACTGCTGTATATTACAAAAAATATATGGCGGTGCAGTGGATTCTTAAAGCGACATTAAATCTTCCTTTTTTTTCATGGTGGCCAGACTTGCTGAAAAAAAAAGTTATTTTTATCTTTTTTAATTTCCTCCTTCTCAAATGGTATCCAGACCGCAATGCCTGTGTTTACATTGGAGAGCCCTTCCTTCCTTTCACAATGCAGGAAGGAGGATTGAATGGAGGGATCATAGGCGGGTGTGGGATTGGTTTTTTAACTCTTTCACCCCATCCCTATACATCTCTATCCTGCTTCTTTATGTGACTTGTATATTTATGCCATTCTCCTCCACCTTAACCCCGTCATCTCCATCGTCTCACTGTATGTGACCTGTACATTAACCCCTTTACCACCTCCTCCCTCTGTGCATGATCTGTATATTGTGGCTGTGCTGTATCTAGTATGACATTACCATGCTTCGTGCTTTTAACACCCTCAATATTGCCATGTTTCTTCATTTTCAAATAATGAGATCATCTTGGGGTGTCTGATTCCATACTTTTTTCAATGGTTTTGAATCAGTGATTTAAAATATTAAAGGACGGTGGTCTGGCAACTATCGATTTTAGAATGGGGAGGAGGAGCCAAAATGAAAAGCATGGGGTTTTTTTGTGTCGGCAAAACTGATGTCGTAAAGCCTGTGACACCCCACGCAAAGCTGCAAGGTGCAGACATTGACCTGCAGTGTGCAAGAGCTCGAGTAGCTGAGTGCAGCAAGATTAAAGACTTCATTTTCAGCCAATCGGCTCACGATTATGAACTCAAAGGACTTTTGCATCCTGATATGCGGGTTCATACATGCAAGCCAATTGGCTGAAGTTGAAACTTTTTATCTCGGCGCACTTGGCTATGCAAGCTCTCACCAGCTGACGCGTGTGATAGGAAATTGCAAGACACACTGCATATGAAGATCTGCGTGTCGCTGCTTCCTTCTAATCTGCGTTGTGACGCAAAGCCACCCAAAGGCAGTGGCCTTAAGGCCTCGTTCACACAGGCTGCAGACTCCACCGCCCTCTGAAAAGCGATCCACTGCAGATTGCTTTTTCCGAGGGTGGTGTAGCCTGCGGTCAGTGGAGGACGGTAGAGCAGTGGCTGAGGGTGGTGGAGACTGCGGCCCGTGAAGGACAGTAGAGCAGTGGCTGAGGGTGGTGGAGACTCCACTGCAGATTGCTTTTTCCGAGGGTGGTGTAGCCTGCCACCAGTGGAGGACAGTAGAGCAGTGGCTGAGGGTGGTGGAGGCTGAGGACAGTGGAGGATGGTAGAGCAGTGGCTGAGGGTGGTGGAGGCTGCGGCCCGTGGAGGACGGTAGAGCAGTGGCTGAGGGTGGTGGAGGCTGGGGCCGTGGAGGCTGGTAGAGCAGTGGCTGAGGGTGGTGGAGGCTGCGGCCCGTGGAGGACGGTAGAGCAGTGGCTGAGGGTGGTGGAGGCTGGGGCCGTGGAGGCTGGTAGAGCAGTGGCTGAGGGTGGTGGAGGCTGAGGACAGTGGAGGATGGTAGAGCAGTGGCTGAGGGTGGTGGAGGCTGCGGCCCGTGGAGGACGGTAGAGCAGTGGCTAAGACTTGAATGAACAGGCTGAGATGTAGATCGCAGCCTGTTCATTCATAACTGGGGACACATAGTACTATGTGTCCCCAGTTATTTACAAACACCGGAGTGATCAGACGATCACTCCGGTGTTTGCTCTGCACAGAGGGATCGTTAAATATCATTGATATTTAACGATCCCCCGCTCGGTCACGCTACACAGAGCCGCTGTCATCCAAAAACTGACAGGCTGAGGCCAGTGGAGGACGGTAGAGCAGTGGCTGAGGGTGGTGGAGGCTGCGGCCCGTGGAGGACGGTAGAGCAGTGGCTAAGGGGGTGGAGACTGCGGCCCGTGGAGGACGGCGGAGCAGTGGCTGAGGGTGGTGGAGCAGTGGCTGCCTGGTGTTCAGGAGGTGAGTCTGCCAGCTCCTGAATGCAGGGAGGGGGGGGGTTAATCCCAGTGGGGATTTTCTGTTGCAATACCTTGCTGCAGTTGCGTACCCATGCGATTAATGCATTCCAATTTATTGCAATTTTCTGGTTGGACAAGCGGCACCAACTGTCAATCATGTCATGCTGTATCATTTTTGCCGTGTTACAAAGCATCACGGCCATGGCAATGTTTACAGCACTGCAGGGCTACCATTGCATCGGGCGGCTGGAGGTGCAGTAAAATTGCAGATCAACCGGCCGATTTTACTACCCTCTTGGTACCCATGTGAACAAGGCCTAAATGAGAAAAGGAGCAGTAAAGCACATTCATTATGCAAAGCTGTAACATTCATATATAAAGGTTATTTCAGTGCTTTTAATCTGTTTAATTTTTATGCACACCACTGCACGCGTTTTTGAGCGGTTTCCTGTTGTTTGTTTTTTTCCCCCTCCTTAATTACTCTCATGCATTTTGCATTGTGAGACAGACATATTCAGAGGTGTGGACCTTCTGTAACAGGGACAGGAGGAAATGCCAGTGGATTGAAAACTACAAGTCTCCCTGCCACAGTGGTTGATGGGACTTATAGTTTTTCCAGTCACAGATCCTGTCAAAGGATCTATGAATGAATGGTGGGGATGGGTGGGAGGAGCCATGCACAGCTATACCAGTTTTGAAAGATGGCATTAGCCTGCGGGAATAAAAATTCAGGTAAGTGGGGAGGGAGAGAGACGACTGGTAGCAATGTGATTATGTTTCCTGTTGCACCCTGAATATGGAATCATGGTCGGAAAGGTAAACTTCGCCTTTGAAGCTTAAAAGAGAACTAAGGGGTAACCTTTTTATCCCATTCTCTTTTAGGGTCATGGTAGGACATATACTAACCTCCTCCCGTGAGCCAAAGCTCAGTATATCGCAGGCTATTGCCCGCAATATACTAAGACCGCCGCAGCCGGGACGTATCCCAACAATACTGTCCAGATCCTCCCAGCTGCGTGAGTGACAGCTGGCTCTGCCTATCTAGAGTGTGAGCTGTGATTGCGCTTACACGTATGTAGGCTTAGATCTCATCTGGAGGCATGTTGGTGGTAGGGAGCTGTTCTGGGCTATGACAGCTTGGCTTGTCCTCCTAATCTTCACCCTTTTGTGGCAGTCAGTAGCAGCGAGGTATAAGGTGCTTTACAGAATTCCTCCTCACCTCCATTCTCCGTTATGAAGATGCTTCATGAAGCAGTCAGTATCTATAGTGTACTTCATAATGATTCTGCTGCTGTGGACTGACCTAAAAAGTGCCTGCAGACAACTAGTATATACATGTGCCCAACAAGGGTGACAATCGATAATATCAAATCAGCTGCACTCCGTACAGCGTACAGACCTTGTTGAAAGGTTGGTGCTCGAAGTGACAACACGGATGGCGCCGTGTCAGATACAGTTCACAATAGAAGTCACCAGCACTGACAATAAGGGTGACAGACCTGCGGTCACATGTGTTTAACAGATCTGGCATCAACATGCACAAACAGAGCCAGGAGGGATGGCAAGAAGATGAAAAGAATAGATTTGTTGCTGCAAAATCCATAAGAAATGAGAGAATATATATAAAAACAACCCAAAAGAAATGTATTTTAGAGGATGTTCTGACAGCGTTTCATTAAGTGAGTTATAATGTTATGGCATTTGTATGATGGCTAAGTTTCCAATTATACAAGTACACTTCTAATTCTGAATATAACAAAGGTCTAATTTTATTTGTTTCAGAGTGAATGGGAAAAAAGGGAACGCATTGAATCACAAAGAAAAAAGCAGAGGGAACTCATTGTTCAGCTCAAAAACCAGCTGGATGATTTGGAGAATTTTGCTTACCAAGAAGGCAATTATGATTCTTTGCCCCAGTCCATGGTCATGGAGAAACAGCGGGTAATTATTTCTTTTTCTAATGAACCTTAATAAATAGAGTTAAATAATACATTTTATTCATTCAGACTTGTGTACTTTAGGCACTATTGTTTTGCCTGAATTTCCAAATCACATGAAGGATGGTAGAAGCCATTGTATGGTATGTCCTTGTATACCTTCATTCACATGCATTTGTTATACATGGGATAGCATGTCTTAAATGAGAATTACGGTGAGAGTAAAACCTACTCCCCCATACTTAGAGGCAGCATGGGGCTTTTATTTGCGTTCTGGGATTCCTGCAGCAGGAATCTACAGATTTTAGCTGCAGGAATCCCAGGTGTGCCTGTTTGGTGCCACCCGGTCAGTAACTTGATTGGGCACAGAGGCTTCACCTGTCCGTGGTTGTCCACATGTAATTGTAAATTGAAGGATTACCTGTGAATCTGGAGTGGTGCTTGTCCCTGGATACAAGTTCTCCCCATCCAGGGACAAGCATCTCTACCGTTCTTCAGGTAATCGGACGATGAAAGATTACATGCAGACAGCCACGGACAGATGCAGCTGCTGTTGCCCTGTCATTAACTTGAATGGGCACAGCGCACACCTGGGATTCCTGCCTTAAGAATATTTTTAGGTTCTTGCGGCAGGAATCCCCAAATGCACATAAAAGCCCTGAGGGCATGAGGCCTAAAACAGGGAGCTAATCAATCATGTGATCACTGAGGGGGGGATTTCATGCAGGGGGGCAGTGACTGACACTGAAATCCCCCTTTCCCTCTCTGTTCCTTCAGCACTGGTTGGAGCTACAGAGAAGGGAGTGGGTGGACGTTAATGGCTCTGCGCGTCACCCTTCTATCTGTTGACTTTGGGTCACAGGAGTACATTGGTAAATGTACTCCTGTGACCCAAAAGAGAAATATAGCCAAAAGAAATTTGAATTTTAAAACTTTTTTAAAACAGTTGTTGGGGGTACAAATGGGTAAGTATCATTGCTGTTCTTCCTTGGAGTGGGCTTCCTAGAAGGATTAGTACTAGAGCATACTGTACGGTTTTCTTGTACTAGATAATATCTGTATTACTGAATCAACCAACACCAAGCAGTGTACGAGTGTGGTGTAGTGGAAGGTTATTGTGGTGAACAATCATTTTACTGAATGTAAGGATTCAACTACTTTTCAGAGAAGTATTGTCATCATTAGAGGTTTCAAATTGACAATTGGCCATGTGATCCTTGCATTGTATTTATGTCTTCTAACTTCTCCAGGTAATCATTGATGAGTTGATTAAGAAGCTGGATGTTAATTTGAATGAGGACATCAGCTGCTTGTCTCCAGAAGAGTTGCGTCAGAGAGTAGATGCTGCCATTGCTCAGATTGTTAACCCAGCTAGAGTGAAGGAGCAGTTGGTGGAACAGTTGAAGACTCAGATCAGAGACCTGGAGATGTTCATACAATTTATTCAAGGTCAGTAACTTTTTAAAGAAATGTCAGAAAATGTATGTTAAGAATGTCTTTTGAAAACAACAGGGTTCAGATCATAATGGCAAAAGTATAACAGTCTTACTTTAGTTTACTGAGTCTTCTTGCTTTGATCATTTCAATCCCTGACTTGGAACAAGTATGAAGATAATAACAGCATAGAGGTGATGATGCAAGAGCTGGGTGCACTCTCAGCACTCCTCAGTGTCCCCAACCAAACAAATACGTAGACGATGAGGGTGGTAGCATAGAGTGTTTTAAAGCAGAAAATGCTTTCACAGATGGGATGACTCTGGTCGGCCACAGTAAGCAAGAGCAGAAAGGAGTGGAGAAGCAAGCGAGGGGAAATACTGCTCTCTGATATTTTTTTTTCTGTCTTGTCAGTGAGAAGAGATTGACCCATTTATGCACACAATTTTCAGCAACTCTTTAGGGGATAATGAGCATTTCCTATGTTGAATTCACTCACTATTGCCTCCAGATTAGCCCAGAACAGCCCAGTACTTGTCTGAGTTCCACAATGGACCATTAGAATCGAGACAGGGCCCGGACATTATAAGCCATTCTTGGACCCCATTCACACTGAGCGATTTGTAGCACGATTTCAGCTCAAAAATCGCTCAATGTAGCTCGTCCAATGCATTTCAATGGAGCTGTTCACATCTCACAGCTCAATGTCGCCTGTAGCTTGTAGCTCAAGCTTGTCGCTTGAACATTACCTATTTTTAGGCGGCTTTTGTGTGATTTGGCCCAATAGACTTCAATGGTGTAGCTCAATGTCGCACATTACCAGCGATTTTTGTGCGACATTGTCACGCTACAGAAGTGTCACTTTTGCACAGAAATATAAGCAGGAAACGGGAAGAGGAATTATGTCGCATCAAGACCACTTTTGATTGGATACAGCCCAATGTAGCAGCTACGAAGTCCATGCCAAAAGTAGCGCTTCGTAGCGCGACAATATCTGCACTGTAGCTCCAAAGTCGCTCAGCTCAAATCAGCGCTGAAAAAGTGCTTTTTTTTCTAAATCATCATAAGAATAGGAGCTCAGACCACTTGTGTTACTGTAAAAATAAATGATTCCATTTAAGTGAATGGGGAAAAAAAATCAAAACCTTGCATCTAGGAGACAAATAAATGCAGTACAGTGCCAAATTCTTCCTGTGCTGGTATATATACCAGTCGTCTAAGCAGCTGAGGACATTTTGTATGCGATGCTTTTAGGAATATTTAGTTACAAAGCAGTGCTAAAAAAAACAAGGCTGTGCTTTACAAATGAGCAAAGCACAGAGTGCTATTAAATGATTGGAAGGAAAAAAGATCAGAAGAGAGCATAGTCTTGTGAACTTTTAGTCAGGTGACCAGCCTTTCCTCCAATCAAAGTTCTCTCTACAGCATCAAGCAGAGAGAACTCGGTGACATGCCACGGGCTCCACACCACTGCCTGCATTCTATGAATGGGATGTAAAATGTAGGCCATGGTGTAAAATAACTTTGCAATGTATAGTGGGAAATGGATAACTATCCACTCTCCTCTTAGTTGCTTTGCACAGATTCATCCAAAGATATGACCTGTGCAAGCACTAGCAATAACTGTCGGGATTACATTCAAACCCCTTCTAGGGAATGTTGGTTACAGAGCATAAGCTGAGATTTAAGGTCCCCACACACCTTGCGATAATCGCGGGAAATCCCGCGATCGTACGATTATCGTAAGGTGTGTGGAAGCCGTGCGACCTCTACTACTGTAAGGTCGCACGACTTTTAACTTACGAACATGTTCGAAAACCCGCCGAGCATCGTACGATGTTCGGCAGGTGTGTAGCATGTTCGTACGATAGAAGCCGGGCGGGCCGGTGTGCGCCAATGCCCGCTCGGCATTGCGGTCATCGGAAGCCCGCCCCTCGGGGGCGCCGCTTGTGATCACCGCAAGTACGATCTGCCTGTCCAAGATAGGCAGATCGTACGTTTTTTTAAAGTACCTTACAACCATCGCAAGACAAAAGTCTTGCAATGGTTGTAAGATGTGTGCCCAGCCTTACATACACAACTAATTGGGTCAGAGGGGTCACTCATTATCCTCCTTGCTTCTCCCTGCTCACATTGTTCAGACAGGCTGTATGAAGTTCTACTCACAGAGAGAGACAGTTTGCATTCAAACAGCTTCTGCTGTGCTCTCGCATTAGACAGTCTATAATGCAAAAGGAGCCAAATGTCTTACTAATAGGTAAGCGAAAAAAACATTCTCTCCTTTCTTATTCCCTCTCTCCTCCCCCCTCTCTCTTTTTTTTGTAAGGTGGATGCACATGACTAACACTACTTTTATTTAATTGAGCAGTAGCAGGGCAATTTTTTCATAACCTCAAAGGGAACCTCACCAAAAAAAGACAAAACAAATTGCTAGCAGGAAAGAATTTTATTGCAGAAATAACATACTGTAACATGTCTACTCTACAATAAAAACCTCAACTGCCTGCTTTCAAACTTCTTTAGAATGTACACTAGCTGTGCATGCTCCGCTTAGTGTACATTCTTGGCATGTCTAGGTCCTGAATGAATTAACTCCTGTGCGCATGCATAGGAGTTAAGTTGTCTTAGGATGGCCATTCAAGATGGCCGAAGATACAGAACCCAAAAGAAGACTGGGCAAAGGTGGCGGCGAAGTATCTCACAGACATTGCATCACTGGAGGCGAGGCGAGTATGGTGGACTTTAGTTCCACTTCAACTAGACTGTGCCTTCTGCTTCTTTGGGTTTGAAATGAGCAGAGAAAGCAGCTAAAAATAAATGTAGATCAAACTAAAGCCTAAGGTTTAATATACTAAACCTGACCCAATCATTTTTTTTTCTTCTCATCATGACCCACCGGCTGAACAAGGAAATACTTTTGAATTCCCCATGCTAACAACATGGATAGGGAAATACCTTACCAGGCTATTGTAATACAGTGACTCTAGCCGATTGTCTGTAGTCACTATTCAGCCAAGAATTTTTATGACTGGCTTCAACTTTTGTTACACGGAGGGGTGCCAATGGTGCCACACACTGCTCAAATGTTGAGTCATCAGACCTTTATAAGCAATGTATGGCCAGCGTATAGATTTAGAAAGCAACCTCCCAGCATTTGGCCCTAAAGGGCACGAATTGTTAGCTTTTTCTTCCATACTCCAAGATATTTAAATTTGCTGTGCTTTTGTGTCCTGGTTACAATGAATGTTAACATGTTTACCATCATCTGTGCAGTAGTGCAACCTCTTCTAATTTGCACCTTGCCAAAGGCAGTCCATCACAGTCAATGGAGGCACTTGGATGAATATTTGCTTTTACCTTTTTTGTTTGTTTTTCATGCTTTGTTGCATCTCAGTGCTGCTAATCTTCTTCATCCACTTCCTGTATACATGCATGCACTCCAACAATGGCTGCATGCACATGGCACTTTGCTGAGCGCAATCTCACGATGGTGACAATGGTAAACCATGACTGTGCAATGTTTATTGGCACGGTCACTTGTAATCACCATCAGAAGCCGGTGTTGCAGAGTGACAGTACAGCAGCACTACTAGGAACCCCATAACAGGACATTCTGTAGAAACCAGAGTGTGTGATTTAAGCACATTTATGACAAAATGAATGTATTACAGGTACTGCTACATTTCTCTATAGTATATAGTATTTGAGGTTGAATAAAGACATTAGTCCATCAAGTCCAACCTATTAGGATCTCATTCTAGGAGTACCCGTACCCCTGTATATTACGGTCCCTTAAGAAATCGTCCAAAAGTTTCTTGAACAATTCCACATTATTTGCTGAAATCACCGCCTGTGGCAGTGAGTTCCAGACCCTAACTGATCTTACTGACCACTGGGGTATATTTTGAGTTAAACTGGGAGTTTTATCATGTGTGTCAAACCCGTTTCCCTCCCGAGTGTATACTGAGGAGAAAAAAGCGTTCAGCGCCTCGGCCCTCTCCTTGTCGTTTGTGACTAGCTTCCCGCTTCCATCCTTTATTGGGCCTATCGGCCCAATATCGGCCCAATATCAGTCAGCGCCCATTTCTTCCACCCTTCACTCTGGATGTTGGAATGCTCTTTGACGTTTCCCCTTCGTTCCAGACGTTGGAATGTCCTTTGACATCCTCCCGTCTAATGCAGGTCACTGGAACTGCATAAGATGTGATGTCAGCGGTCGGTAGGGGAAGAAGAGGCTGTGTTGACTGCTCTAGTAGCCTGGAGCAAGTGGACCGGACTGGGTAAGTATAACAGCTTTAATAGTGTCCCTTAGACAAAACGAGCTACCCCCACACTGCCAGGGTACATTTTTTTATTTGCCCGAGAGGGCTTTAAGTCACTGACCCAGAACAAATATAAAGTAAGTCATCATCTGCACACTTGTTTTAGGGTAGTCACTCTACTACCCTAAACTACAAGAGGTTGTCGGTGGCAGCTTCCATGTTTCTGTTGGAAAGGTTTCCTTCATCTGAGTTTCTTATCTGCTTTGACACAGCTGCGTGAAGTAAAATGTTTTCTTTTACAGTAAAACTAGACTCACTCTGCAACTGTTTCACTTTAGATATTTCTGAACATAAGGTGGAAAACCTCAACATTGGTTCCCAAGTACTGCTGCCGATCAGCTGTACCTGAGATTGGAGCCAGAAATTCTGAAGCTACTGCATCACTTGTAGTTCCTTGGCTATCTTAGTAATAGGGCTGCAGCTAACGATTATTTTCATAATCGATTAGTTAGCCAATTTATTAATTTCGATTAATTGGATTTTTAAAAATGAATACTGTCATTTATTTAAAACAAAATCCCCAAATGCAGTGTTACAGACATAAAGTTTACTGCACATTTTTTGAAAATGTGTGTGTGTGTATATGTATGTGTGTGTGTGTGTGTGTGTGTATATATATATATATATATATATAAAATTATTTAACTTTTTTTTTATTTGTTTGCATTTTTAATTTTTATTTAAACTTTTTTTTGTTTGTTTTTTTTTCCATTTGTTAGTCTTTTTTTTAATTTACCGTATATACTCGAGTATAAGCCGAGGTACCTAATTTTACCAAAAAAAACTGGGAAAAAGTATTGACCCGAATATAAGCCGAGGGAGATGGTCGCTAAAGCGACCATCAGCTTATAGTAGAACTGTAAATGCCAGGTCCGTATGGCATACTGACCTGGCCAGCTGGAAGCACTTTTGTAGGTCCGTATGCCATACGTCCTTGGCAGCGAAAGGGTTAATGGATTTAAAATAATGTTAATTGTAAAACTCTTAAGAGCCAATATAATGAAATAACCACACTTTTATTTAACATTACACAAAAAATATATTTTTCAATTTTAGTTTATTTAACTTTTTTTTTATTTGTTTGCATTTTTAATTTTTATTTAAACTTTTTTTTGTTTGTTTTTTTTTCCATTTGTTAGTCTTTTTTTTAATTTACCGTATATACTCGAGTATAAGCCGAGGTACCTAATTTTACCAAAAAAAACTGGGAAAAAGTATTGACCCGAATATAAGCCGAGGGTGGGAAATGAGGCAGCTACTGGTAGATAGATATCAATAAAATTACATTAATATTTATTTAAAAGAAAAATAACCTAGCTCTGTAAGTGGAAAAGGGGGTACAGGGTTACATATCATGTACTACGGATCATTTAACCCATTCATATTAGCAGAGGATAATTGTAAATCTATTGTTCAGTGCACTCTATATGTAGTA